GCTCTGCCCTGAGAAGGCAGATGTCCCTGCTGCAACTCAGCGCTGGCCCTTCATTTCTGGATTAGTAAAATAAACGTGTTAGATGGAGAAATCATCCTCATCCCTTTTTTTGTTGCTTTAAATAAGATGGAAGGAGTGTTTTCAGGATGAAAAGCTGGCTTGGTGAAGGTTACAGCTGTTAAGCACCTGCTGTATGTGAGCACAAGAAACACTCCCATGGATTAGGCCATGAGGCTGCTCAAGAAACTGCGGGAAGGGGCTGTTGTTGCTTTGTCAGCACGTTGCTAGAGTGTGCCTTGAGTCCCTGCAGGACTGGGGAGAAGCCTCTATGTATATAGAGATGTATTTACAATGAGCAAACTGTGAAGGAACAGTGCCATTAAAGAAGATTCCCACTGGGAACTCCGGGGCTGGGATGTGATCCTGTACACAAACTCTCTCAGCCTAGGCTGAGGTGTAGGGTGGCAGAACAGGGCAGAGGGACATGGAGCTGTCTGACCTGGCTGTCCCTTCGTCACTCTGGCAGACACTGAAAGAGGCACTAGCGTGTGGTCCTTAATGTGCAGGGAGTATTAGGAAGCAATCCAAAATATTTCAGAGTGCTGAAAAAAATCTGGCTGGGAAAGGCTGATGCTGTACAGCCTGAGTGGAAGGAGGGTCACTGGCTCTCCAGTCCCCCAGTGCTGGTGTTTTGGGGGTGTCTTTCTTTGTGCCAGGGGTGAGCAAAGCAAGCAGTTCCTCACAACGGGGGCTGCTTTGTTTTCCTGCTGGGCCACACACACGGCTTCCCTGCACCCAGGATCCAAGGGATGTAGCACCGGCTGCAGGGTAATTAGCAACGCTGGGGTTCTGCCATCCCATCGGGAGCATGCAGGCAGGTGCTGTGGGCTGGGCGGGCTGGCAGATGGCCTGAAGGACTCTCTGGGGATCCTGAGCCATTACCAATAATCCAGCGCCTCTCTTCAAACGTGTAGTGGAAGTGCTGCTGCTGGAGGAGGGAGGTTGAGCCCGTGCCAAGACCGCACACCCAGCCCCAGCCACTCCTCACAGCCTCCCCATAAAAATTAACACGGGGTGTGTTACTGTGCTCCCGTGCATGTTAATGTTTCCTGTCGCTTAGGGCAGAAACAGCAGGGATGGGGACACATGACTGAGGGCCTGAAGTGTCCCTCCTGCTGAAGGGAGACCTGGCCCTTGTAGCCACTGTGGAACAAACCTGCAATGGGGGCGGCTGCCCCCCAGCCATTCCCAGGGAATGGGGTTTGTGCTGGCCACAAGCCCTACAGATTGAATAAGAAATGTGCTTGGGATCACTGGTCCTCAGGAGCCACCTCTGCTCCAGCTCCTTTGGTGGCACCCAAGCCAGCTGTGGTGACGGTCTCCTGTTCCCACTGTCCTGTGACATGTAGAGGAGGATCCTTGCCTCATTTTACCCATCCTTTCTGGAGAGTGGATGGCTCAGTCCTGCGAGCCCAGAGGCTCAGGCAAAGGCCCGCAGCAGACACTTGTCCCCTTTGGAACCCGCTCCCCTCCTCTGCCACCTGTTTCCCAGCTGCACAACACCCCGGGCCCGCCGGGGCCGGGCGCTGCAGACAAAAGCCGGTTCCTCGCCCTGCCGCAGCCTCTCCCGCGCTGCCTCGCTTTAATTAGCCCCATCAAAGCCGGCTGCGTCCCTCCCTCCTGGTAGGTCGCAGAACATGATTAATTCAGGCACAGAAAACAGCCGCCCCCCGCAGAGAGGGCCTCTCGATGAGGCCAAAGCTGTTTCCTCTCCCCCATCCAGTCTTTCAACCCCAGCAGCAGGGCTGGGAGCTTCTTTCTTCTGGAAGGAAGCTGGGGATAGGCACAGGCTGTCCCAGGAGCCGGAGGGGACAAGCAAGAGCAATGGCCTCAGCGAGCCTGGGTCTCTCTCCATCCCTCCCATGCTGCTCTGGTCATGGGCATTGCCCACAGCCCACCCGTGGGTCTGCAGTTGGGACTCCCCCCAAAAAACCTCTGGGTAGTACAGTGAGTCTGGGCTCAGAACCAGCCCCTCCACGAATGGGGGTCCATGCATGAGCCCTGGGGAGATGCAGGGGTTGCTCCAACTCCTCCCAGCACCAGATTTCTCCAGCTGGTCTTCCCTGCTTCCACATGTGCAGGGCCCAGGGTGGCACACACCATAACACAGCTTTATTAACCGCATTTGTAGGCAAAGAGGTTTTAAAAGGAAAAAGCCTTTTGGGAAAAGAGATAGATGGGGGGATCCCTTCCCCCTTTATATTTCTGCCAACGCAGCTGTGTGCAGTGTTCTAACAGCACTCAATGCCCCGGAGAGGCAATTACTGCAGGAGCAGGGCTGGGCTGCTCTCCACTTCATTTTCCTAATACAGTTACATCCTCTTGGAAAAGTGCTGCTGCTCAGGGGAAGGTACAAAGCGAGCTCCTAACATGAATCCTCTGCCTTGGGAAGGGCTCTGGGGCTTCCCTTTGCACAGCAGGGAACAGAGGGGCCACCCCAGTATGCACCAGCACAACACTGTTGTCAGGTTTTTATTTCAGTCTTACGAACATTCTTCCAAGAGATCAAACACGAGAAGAAAAACAGTTTGAGCCCCTGACAGGAGAGATGAGCTGCAGGCCCAAATCAACTGAGCTGGGGAATCTATAAGGAAGGGAGGCTTCTAGAGAGCTCAGAAGCCTGAACCAAGCAGATCTCACCCTTCTCCCCAAGCCAGCCAGGCAGAGCCACACACAACAAGACTGGCAGTATGAAAACAAGTTTGAGAAACCCCTTTTGCACAGCTCCCTCCCTCTTACTCCAGATCCATGCAGTGCCCAGTGGGCACCCCACCCCACACTGCCTGCAGGGCTTCACAGGCACCCCAGGAATGAGAAACACCACAGCTTCAGGGAAGAGAGGGGGCAAGGTGAGCCAGGAATTTAATCTATGTCTCTCCTCATGCACATCAAAGGCTTTTCTGGTGCTGCTCTTCAAAGCCAGTAGGCACAGCTGTAATCCCAGCTGCTGTTGGGGGTCTGCCATGGAGACCCTGTGGACTGGGCTTTCCAGCCCTTCAATCAGTGCCTTGCTCAGATACAGAGCAAGAGAGAACCCCACTCTGTGGGGAGCCTGCTCCAGCAGTCCCCTTCAGGAGGTTGCTGTCATTTCCTGCAGAGGAGCAGCAAGGAGCCAACTCCTTCCTCACACCCACCACTTGTGGGACCCCAGCAGCAAGCTCTGCCACGCCAGAGAAGCAGAGAAATCCCACAGCACCCAGGCTGTTCCCAGAGAGCCACACCCCACACTCCCACCTTGCTGGGTGCAAACAGCTGGGCACCCCCAGAGGAGCAGAGAAAGAAATGACCTACTACTGCCTCCTCTTCTATTCTGCAAACAGGGAAGCCTTTATAGCTGATGGGACACAAGGGAATGTGGCCCAAAATGGACAGAAGGAAAATGCTGCTGGAAGATCACGTCCATCAGATGAGGAGTGAAGAGGCAAAGTGCCCCTCCCCTGCTTCCCAGAACACTAGTTCAAGAGCAGCCACGTGGAGATTCCTCACATGAACATGTCATCGTAGCCTGGAGGAGGAAGGTGGTCAGGATCCGGCCTGGAAAGAAATTCAGAGCAGAGTCAAACGGAAGTGAGAGCTCAGGCCTGCAGGAACAGGGATGAGCTGGGATCCAGTGGCAGGCTGGAATACCAGCATGGCCAAGCACCTACCCGGATCGCCCAATTCCTATGGGGCCAAAGGGGTCAAATCTGGCACCTGGTGGAACAGCTCCTGGGGGAAGCCGGCCTGGGATGCCCGAGGACGGGTCAATGCCAGGATGAGGGATGCCAGAGCGGAGAGGATCCACAATCATTCCCCCACTCCGACCTCTGGAGAGAGAAAAGGCAGAGAAGGAGATGAGATTGGCACTGGAGAGAGCTGAAGAAATGCTGAGCATGGGATCATGAGGTGAACTTGACACGTGGCATGTGGAAAGGAAAGGTCCTCCCAGGACCAGCCAGTGAGGCATCCCATGAAGACAGAGAGCCCTGCAGAGAACCCCAGAATTGTTTGAGTAGGAGGGGACCTCAAAGCTCATTTCATTCCAACTCCCAGCCACAGGCAAGGATATCTTCCACTAGACCAAGTTGTCCCAGGCCCCATCCAATCTTGAACACTTGCAGTGATGGGGCAGCCACAGCTTCTCTGGACAACCAGACGTCTGGGGTCTCATCATCCTTACAGGAAAGAATTTCTTGTCAAAATCCAATCTAACTTGGCCTGCTCTCAGTGGGAACCATTCCCCTTTGTTCTGTCACTTCAGGCCCTTGTCTAAAGTCCCTCTCCAGCTCTCTTGGAGCCCCTCTGGGCACTGTAAGGGGCTCTAAGGTGTCCCTGAAGCCTTCTCTTCTCCAGGCTGAACAACCTCAGCTGTCTCAGCTATCTCCACAGCAGAGGTGCTGGCTGTTCCCTCAAGAGCACCAGACCTGCAGTCCCACGTTCCATCCCTGCTTCCCGTCCTGCCCTGCGCAGTGTTGCAAGAGCCGGCCGGGTTCCCACAAGCCTTTCCAAAGAACTGCCTGGAAGTCATTTGCTGACCACGGCGGCTCCTCGGAGCTGCCCCACGCTGCGAGTGCCATTCCTCATGCTCGCCTTTGTGCAAATGTGGCTGCAGCCTCCGGACACCGCTGCCATCATGCAAGTCATTAACAACCGTGCTAATGAGTTCCATTAGGCTAGAACAGCTGCCCGAAGTGCCCCGGG